AAACTGAGACCGATATTCCAGTATTCCTTGGAGGCCAAGGAACAGAGGAAGACCGGCTCTGATACCAAAATGTAACACCCTAACCCGGCCGGGTACTACTTTTACTAAAATTCCCTTGACAAATAAACTACTCAACTCTTAAATTGCCGCGGGAAAAATTTTCATAAATAAAAATTCTGAAACCACGCACTTGTAGCTCAGAGCAAAGCCCTAACACGTGGGCAAATTAAACTCAAACTTTAAAATCTCAATCTGATCTCCTGTCTATACTCATAATCATAATCATAATCATAAATGTAAATAAATAATAATCACTAATGTTGTTGCTAATGAAACCTTGACTAAGCATCCTTTGTGACGCTGATACTGCCCTCCTCTAACTGGCTGCCCTTGAACTTTTCCTCTCGAACTCGCTGCTCTCTAACTGCTCCTCTAGCTAGCTGCTACTGAACAGGTTCTCGCTCATTCCCTTACTAAGGCCTGGTGAGTGAGTTGGGGTAAGTCTACGCCCTTATGTTTTAAACTTTCTAATAACTTTGCACTTCTTCTCAAACACTTAAACTCAAACTGGGGGAAGTTGTTTGTACTTCCATTCTTAAAAATCTTAACTCTTAAAGCGGTATGGGATAACTGTTACTCTCCACTCTTTAAGCTTAAATCTCAACTTAAATACTTGACTGACACTGGGATCCCTCACTAGCTAGTCCGGTTGCCAACTCATACGTATGAGAAGCCATCCATGCTTTCCATAAACTTAAACTTAGTTAGGGGAGTCGTAACGATTCATCCCCCCTAACACCTTAAACTTATCGTGGTGGCTCTTCACCACGATCCTCAAGGGCATAACTGCTGCCCATCTTAAAAGTCTCAAGAGCATAACTACTGCTCTATCTCAAAGTGTCTCAAAAGGCAACAGACTGGCCCTAGTGACTAAAAACATTTTAAAACGACTTCACCTTCTTGAAGGTGAGTTACTTCTTGAAAAGAACTTATTTTTTAAACTTTTAACAATAACTTATACTCAGGAAAATTTCACAGTAAATAACAACCATTCACTACAAGTCATAATTCAAATAAGGCACATATCACCAACCATAATCATGCAATCTCAAACATGAATCAAACACTGCACATACATCACGTAAAGTAATACTCGAAAATACTCAAGGCAAATACTTGAAAATCGTAAGGCGTAGTATTTACCCCCTTTAGACTCACCTTGGTTATCAATCGATTATCCTCTATCATTGTTAGATGAGATTACCCACGTCTCCCCTTCTCTTATTGGATCACCATTCCATTTGCCTTTTCAACTCTTTTGCTTCAGTTGTACAAGGCTAAAAATGCCAACAGGAACTCAACTTGCAACTTATAAAGCTTGTAGAGCCGAAAAATGGCAGCTTCAATTCGTAGACGAAAAGGTTGCAGCAAACCCCTGACTGTCATGCGAGAAAATTTTAACCTAGTACACCTTCCAGTTTTCTTCACTTCCGTGCACAAGAAGCAACCAAATCTAGGTTCATCCACCCGAGATACAATGCACCATCCCTCACTTGAAGCCTATACTACTCGCAGTAATTCTCCAGCAGTGTCTTAATGGTAGCGTTCACCAAAGAGCTCAAAGGACACTGTGAACCCCGCCACCGAGAGCAGCTGGCCTAGGCGATCTCAAGAGCTGCTTGCTTACTTATTTTCGTTTGCCAAGTGCCGCTTGACCCAGCTGGCTGCTTGTCCATTTAATTCCCCAAAAAGGGATCCATTATCTGCATTCCCCGACCACCACCATTTAAATAGATTCTTCGCGACCATCTCTGTTCAAGCTGGGTGGCGCCCTTTTATCGAGTAGGTGGTCTGCAATCGCCAAACGTCAAGAAATTACCCGCCCTCCAATTTTCCTTCTTGTGTAGGCTTGCTCTGGCTCTCCTTAAAATCACCACTATGACTAAAATAAGAAGCAATAAGCAAGATGGGTCTGCCGCTTGTCTCTAGAAGCGAGAATTTTTTGTGGTGGCGGCTGGTTCTCCTCCACTCGGCGCTTCTTCACCATTTTTCCAATGAAATTTTGAGTCGAAAGGGGTTTGTGATTCGTGGCAATCAATTGCTCATTATGCTCGGGAAGGATTTTCTCTTCACTAGTTTTAGGTTTCCCTTAGTGTAGGGATAGGGAAACCGAGAGAGAGATGGGATCGTGTCTAGGGTTTTTTTTCTCTCTCGGCTGCTACATGATATATAAATTAATTAGTAATAATAATATAATAAATTATTATTACTAATTCACGGTTGCAATCCTTTGTATGTAACTGTTAACCCAACCGTTCACGTATTATGGTCGAACATGAACCCAAAGGTCAGGGTGTAACATTTCCTCCACCCTTATAAAAATTTCGTCCCCGAAATTTGCTCGGAACTCATCCTTCTATCAATACCCTTCTTATACTTCCTTCTCACGATCATCTATTCTTACTCTAACAACTCGCTGGTAACCCTTGATCTTTTATAATTCCCTAGCTTGTACCCCATGTGTAACCTTGAGTGGCTCACGACCTTTTTATTTCACAATTTGACCCCCAATGTGGTGAACCAAAATGCCCATTTGGCTTGCCATGTTGATCCAATTCTCCTGCTAGTTGATGTTGAACTTAAATCCAAAATCGAGATATCACACTCTGGTTATTCTTGGTGAGCGGAGGGCGGAAAGAATTGCGCAGGAGGGGGCACTGAAGATCGAGGTCGACGGCGGAAGGAGGAAGAGACGGACGAAGACAAAGGGAGGAGAGGAACAGACACGGAGGTTGAAAAGAGTTTGGATTGGTTTTCGCAACCTCTGCGGGTGTTCACGTGGAGTAAGGAGTGGGTTAGGGAAGGGTTCTAGGGTTTTAATTAGTCAAAGGGTTATTTGTGGAAATTCACACTTGCGGGTGAGTTTAATCCGAAACTCAATTAATGTCCGTAACTTTCTCGTTTTATGTCGAAATTCTACACCGCTTGAACCGATAGTTCACATTTTAAGTCCTCCTCGACATTACGGTGAAACTTGACCCAAGGGTATAATAGTCATTTTGACTTTTGGAAAGAGCGAGGTGTAACATTACTAATAAGTTATACCCTCGGGCTGGGTTAACTCCACAAGGTTTAAGAACTCTCACTTTCTCATTGGACACCTTCATACTTTCAAGTATGACTTCGTTTACCTTTCCACTTTTGTCTTACGGATAGGTTTGCGTCCCATTGTAGGGTCTTGAGATAGTAGCCGAAACAATGGCTAGCTCTTCTCCCCACAATTCTACCCTTTGCCAAACATCATGGAATAATCCCATTTATTTTTCATGTTTTTACTTATTGAACTTGCCAACCACTATATTTATCTAATTGTTTACCAATGGTATGATCTCACTCGATTACATACCACGAACAATTCAGATTTTATAAGAAATATCATCTAATTACTTACCAATGGTATTGATCAAGGCAACTTGAAACATCGTAAGTAATTCATATGCATCCGAGTAATGGAAATCCCATCTAATTACTTACCAATTACATTTCAATAATGTAACATGATATACCACAAGTAATTCAAACGAATTTCTAATCAATTGTCTAATTACTTTCCAATGGTATAAACTTCATAAATATACCATAAGTTATCCAGACTTTAAGTTCAATAAGATCACCTCAATTGAGCTCTCATTCCAAATTGTTTTCCAATGATATACATCTATATATACCATAAACAATTCTGGCAACTAGCTCCACGTTGATAATCATAGTCAAATTGTTTCCCAATGGTATAGTGTACTTATACCATAAACAATTCTAACCTAGTGCTTATCTTGATGACCAGCATCATTTGGCAAGCTTATTCAATCCCTATAAGGATCAATCATAGCTTCATTTTCCTTGCCCTCATGGCATAGGAAACATCAAGTTCTAAACCACATACATAATAAATAAATTATCATGTCTTCACAAGCATCTTAGGATTTAGGATTCCTTGTCGCTTACTCGTAATGCAATATTTTAGACATGCATTAACCATATTCCATCTCCAACGCATAGAAGGTATACTCGTTCGTACTATGTTCAACTTATTTTGAACATAACCTTTACATTCAATTTGGAACCATTCCGGCTTAGATAGACTTGACTCACAAGTCCATACAAGCCTCTCGCCATAGGTTGCACACACCTATGGTTTTTCATATTCCCAACCGGATAGTGTGAAACCATCCAAAACCACCTCATAGTCTATGAATGACTACCTTTGAAATTAATCCTTCATAATTGTGGAACAAGTTAGCATATCGAGGACTCGAGGTATATAGGTTCTTCTATCCTCTCATGCAACGCTTGAATGAAAATGTGTCCAACTTAAATTTGCACACTTATCATTCATCCATGGCACAAAAACGAATTAGACCAATGCGATAAACGCATTAAAACATGGTGGTTAATTTTGGCAACAAACACGCTCTTAATGGCTTTCTCCAACCAATTTCCATTTAGGAAATATTCCCTTTACTTATCATTATGTAAATATATCATTTACATAAGTTTATCATCATGGATCAACTCCATGTCTCGTGAACACTTCCCGCCATATTGTTTCAACTTACTCCAAACAACTTGGTCACATTAAACGAAGTGTTGCATCTTTCAAATTCTCAAAATTCAAACTCACAAATTTTTTATGAAAAATTTGTTTCCAAGAATTCAACGTGAATTCTTTCAAATTAAAACAAGTTGAACTTTCTTGAACTCTTCTCATATTAGCATTATGAGTTTGTTCCCATCTCAAAACAAAATCCAATTGGTTCATCTTTCTTTGTCATCGGTAACAAAGATTTTCCTTCTTTTCTCCAATGGTAGAAACAGTCCATACTCTGTCGTTCTTTCCTTCTTTTCTCCATTGGCAAAAAAAGTATCACAAGCAAATATATACATAACATATATAAACAGGAACCAAGTTTATATATAGAAGTAAGGACTGTCCCGAGACAAAGTCTCCACTTCAATGAATCAACGCCTCTCTTGGCCCTTCTCGTGACCAGATATATGTGTACATATAAAACATCATATCACGTAGAATTTATCAACAGGGAAGCAGTGGAACGAATTGCCTCGCGCATTGGGAAACCTATTCACATTGATCGGGTAACTCAATCCGGCGCTATCGGGAGATTTGCCCGAGTTTGCGTCGAAGTGGATCTTACCAAACCCCTTCTCTCACAGTTTAAGATATAAGGAACCACATACTACATCGAGTTCGAAGGGTTACACCAAATTTGCATAGAGTGTGGTCGCTACGGTCACTCTGTAAAGACCTGCCCTACCTTGTTCAAAGAGACGGAAGTACCGACGACCAAGCAGAACCCACAGCCTCCAGCACACAACTCGCAAGTTCCCTACGGGACTGGATGGTGGCTAAGACGCGTGGAAGGAAGCAAGTGAATAAGGGTCAGCAAGTTGACAAACAAAAGAGTGTAGCTCAGGGTGAAGTGCGAGCCAAACCAAGTGCTAGCAATGGATCCCGTTTTCAAGTCCTATAGGAGGAACACGAGGTGATGGAAACAGAAACCAACACACAGGTGACCTTGGTGCTGAACAATGCAGTTGGGGGGACAACCTTGCCTTCTCGCTCAGTAGAGGCAGTGTCTGAAACAACCTAGGCAAGTGCGGTTGTAATTCCTCCCATGAGGCCTCCCCTGGTGGAGGTGCCTATCATGATGGTGACTCCACAGACACAACCCTCTGAAGGCGCTCTCTCAAAGGGGAATGGACCAAGCGATACTGTTCTCCCCAACCCCGCTCTGGTCTTCTCGGCTCAGAAAACCAATCCGGGTGACAAACTGCATGTCGATTCCGTTGACCCGGGGGGAACGGTACCACAGAAAATTAAAACAAAGACGAAGAGTGGAACAGCTGGGGCACAGAGTCAAGCCAAAGGTACACAGAAACAGCACGCCCAGCGTGCCGGGAGCCATGCGGCTCATATTCCTCGTTCTTGACCTCGCCACCTTGGGTGGTCCTTAGTGAAGTCATTTCCCTCTTCTTTTCTTTGTTTAATGATTAGTATTCTAGCTTGGAACTGCCAAGGGGCAGCGAATGATTTGTTTTTGTCTTCATTACGGTTATTTTCTGAGCCTAACAGGTCGGATATTGTTATTATAGTCGAGCCGCATATATCACCTTGTATACATCCTAAAAATGTAAGAGATTCGCTCCTTACTTTTACAGGTAATGGTCGTATAATCAACTTGCCACGAGAACATGCAGCACATGGTACATCTTTAAACTGATAAATTTTGTGACCTTTCAATGGATGTCCACATGTATTGGTAATGATTTTTCATACCATAATCAATCTGGGATGCCTACCCGGTCATGCCAAACTATAAACTTATCAAGATTTGTAGACTTCCAATTTACCACTACATGTGTTTCAATTATCCTAATAAATGTGTAGTACAACCGAAAAGAAATAACAGACAATTTCTCCAACATGTATTTCTTACCGGAGACCATATTTGTTATCATAATATACTCTTTATTCTCTTCTTCATTTGTCTCAATAAATTTCTTCGAGACTTTGAAGAGTATAATGTTTCATCGAGATATATAATTAGGTTCCTCCTTATACACTAGCTCTTCCGGAGCCTTCAATTAAATTTTTAATTCCAGATATGGTACTAAAATTTGCCTCTCGCATTTCAAGATAAAAAAAATATCTCTTATCCTTCTAGATTGTATGTGTCCATACACTATCGATAAGACACACATCGTGATTTTTTTATCTTAGTGCTAAGCATGGGAATATACATTCTTCCCAGAAGATAAAAAATAAATTAATATAAAAAATATCTCCAAATAAATCCAATAATGATGACATGGTTAAAATAGATGAAATTAAACAGCCATATGATTATAAAGAGAAAAGGGTAAATACAATATATTAGCCACAACTATTATGAAGCGGGAAATTATATCCACATTTATGAAAATTCAAATTTTTAGCCATAACTATTATTGTCGGTCAAGATATGGCTAATTGTCCGTTACTGTTATTGAATTTTTGACGGAGAAGGCCACGCCATCGACCACAGCAGCGACCACATTTGAATGCTTTTAATTTATAACTTTAATACATAAAAGTTTAATCACTATTACTAACGAAATTGTTAACATATAGTTAATGTTTGGCTAATAATTTGAATTTCCATAGTTGTGGCTATAATTCCCCGCTTCATAATAGTTGTGGCTAATATATTGTATTTACCCAAGAGAAAATTATAATTAAGTGGCACATTAATGGGTAAACACACTCAAAGAAGGACAAAGAAACAGAGTTCAAATGGGAAATGTATACTTTTCACTTGTGAACAAAGCGACAACGAAATAGAAATTTCAAACATATCTTCATCAGTGATATTTACTCCAGATAATGGTAGTTATCAGGTAGCTTCATCACCTTCACTAGTCTTTGCCACAGACGGACAAGTAGATTTGTTGTGCCCATACTTCCTGCACTCCGTACATATCCAGTGTAAACCTTCAAATTCAATATAGTAGGTAATGTCTTCGATTTGTATTGGGATAGGAGCGGTTTTGTAAGATCAACTCAACATTAATCCGAGCAAACCGCCCTCTATCTCCTATCTGTTATCCCCTATCAACCCGAACCGGTTTCCCAATTGTTGATGCAATACGCTCCACCGCTTCCCTGTTAATGAATTCTCTCGGTAGATCAGGTAGTCGCGCCCAAACCATCGTCGACGCTACTTATGCCATCTTCAGGTTAAAATTTCTTCGCTATGGCCGGACCGTGATATAAAAGTCCGCAATCATCCATGCTCCGCCCACCGCTAGACGTTCATAATAAATCTGATTCGTATATCTGACTACGTAGAAACCATATGTCATGTTGGAAACTTGAATTTTTCCGATTTTTGCCCACAGAACTTCCAACCGTTTCGCAAGTACAAGAAACGGGTAAGAACGACCTAAGACTTTGACAATCAACGCTGAGCGCGACTCTCTCCTACATCGTTGTTTCTCAAGGGAGGTGAAAGGTATCATTGGACAACGCGGGTCATCATCCTCCGAAACTTCATCATCTAAGTCATCTTCTTGCATGGCAGCCGCAACATCTTCGGAGTCTGACTCTGCCACGTACCACTCATCCTCAGCATGCAGGTCGCTGAACAGTTTACGCGAACCACCTTGTTTCCATGCCGAGTTTGGCTGATTAGCTTTTGGTGAACCATCCGCCCCCTAAGTCAGGAACGGAGGATCTTCAGTCATAGCTTCTGCCTCAAAAAGAGGATTGTCCTCCATTGGTTTTGCCCGCTTCTTCGGGTGCTGAGTTTCCTTGTCGCCCCTTGCATTTGGTGGCGATGTTATCGGGGATGGACGCCGAATTCCAGCACTAGTATTAGGTTGGCCGCCGCTCAGGGGTTGTGCCTCGGCGCAAGCTCTGCCACTGAGATTGGCGCCGCAGGCTTAGTTCGCTAGGGTTTGGAAATTCCCCGCTCCGATAAAGTTAGAGCTCGTAGAAATTTTATGAATGGTAATTTGACGTTTATCGGAGCTCGTAAAACTTTTATGCAATGGTAATTTGACGTTGTGACTATTGTGGTCGTGGAGGCCAAGTGTAAATATTTCCTTATTAATTTGAAGGTTTGGTGAAAGGAAAGGCAATTTAAAGCGTTTTGTTAGAGAAAGAGAGAAGACATGAAAAGTTCATTATTAGGTTTTCCTTCCCATGTAACGTACCACCCTCAATTATGTGCATTTATTAAGGCTTCTTTTGTATTACATTTTGCTTTGTCATTTATATGCACTAAATTGGAGAGGAATAGAACCCAACATAGCCACCAAATAATTTGCAATGACCAAGTTAGCCCATACGGAGCTCTTTGTCTGTGCGGCCCATTAAAGAGCTATATTACTGTGCGACCCAGCAAAACAATCGAAATGAAAAGTCAGTCCAACGAAAAGTGGGAAGAAGCGTAAAAAAAGTAATTGGATGAGAGATCAACATAGGCTGATGTGGCAGATTGTTGTTAGAGAACAACATAATATTAGTTATAAAAATTACTAATAATAAATCATAAAATTATTAATACAAAGATGAAAGAAAATTGGTAGTAGTGTATTATCAAAATCACTACTAATAAATCATAAAATCAATACTATCCACACCAAATTACTACTACAAACCTCAAAGAAAATTTGGTAATAGTGTTTTCCAGAATGCAATATTTTATTATGTATGGTTAGAAAGAGAGACATGATGGAGAGAAGGGAGAAAGTAAGACTTGGATCGAGAGATTGTAACTACATTCCATTGAAATTTTTAATTCCTCCCTTCTATTACTACTTTTTCCTTTTTAGATGCTAGTTAGCATGGTGCTAATCCCTTATACAATTAGCACCCTATCTCCTCCCGCACCTCAACCCCACTTGGTTACTAAAACACATTGGCCTAATGTAGATAATTTGACGGAGGTGTTGCGAAATACAACCCTAGATATCAATTAAGGTTAATTACTTTTTATGACATACTACATTCATAAAAAATTGCGTCTTCGCTAGCAACTCTTCTTTTGATTGAAAAGATTTGCTCCTTGTGTTTCATTCTAACTTACAATCCTACACCTTTGTACCTTCCCATACCCCACTTGCCCTCACTAGGTGTATTGTTTTTTTTTCTTGCACATTCTGGTTTATGAACCTAAATATCACTATGAAAGGGGTAAGATCAATAACATAATATAGCAACTAGCTATGCACTACGAGAGACGCTCGTATTCTTAGTTCACCCATGTTCAAACATAAATCACTAAAACAAGGCCTCTCAACTAACCACAAGTAGGACGGATTCAAAAGAGTTTCAACACTCCTTCTACACTAGAAGTATGATAGCACAAGCAATAAAATAGTGAATCCATGGGTCTCTAGATTTAGTATTACTCAACTTCAATTTATTAATTAGCAAATCATATTTGGTTTAAAGAACTACAACTACACTAACAAATTACACTAGATTAGATTACTAATTATATGTTGGGAACTCACTTAGGTAATGATTTCCCTAGCCACTAGCTAGGATACCGATCAAATCGACTCCCTCGGAGATTACCTTGACAACATAGGATAGGAGTGACCCAAAAACGCAAATTATGGGCTCTAAGGGGATTTTCTCTCTCCTAGGTCAAAACCTCAATACATGAAATGGAATCCAAAATCCTGCAATCCATGAAAATCATCCATCAAATAGATAATAAACTCAATCAAACATTTTATTTGTCACATACATCAACATAAAACAAAAATCTAGATTTAGGGCTCTTAAACCGAAAAGAAGAGGGCTAGTTTCTAGAGAGAGAAGAGAGAAATTACAAATTGAATCACAATATCTTCTTCTAGGCTTGATTCTTTGATTCCAAGCTTGATCAATTCCTTCAATTAAGCGCCAAGATCACTCAAGAACGCTCTCTCTCACTAGAACTCCTCTTTGGTGTTTTGGTTCGAAGCCGCAGAGAGAATCAATTTCTCCACCAAAATCCAGCTCCCCTTTCTCTCTCCCCTTTGTTGTTTTCATACAGCCCAACAGTCAATTTTCACTATCTAATGTCACGGTCATGATAACGGAGCTTCAACAGCTCCCCTTTAGGCCCACGAGACGCAGAAACCTTATTGGAAACTGTCAACTTGACTATTCTTCACTTTTTTGCACTTTTCGACCTCCAATCGTCCTGAAACTCGTCCTCGACCTTCCCACACGTGCTAGGACCTTAAATGTAACAAAAATAGCTCACGCTAGCGTAATATAGGTCGAGGGACGATGATTTACCAAGTCAAACTATTAAGAAATGAGGGATAAATGATCGGTTGCTTGCGCGTGTGATCGAGCTTTAAATTTATAAGTTGATGCACACTCTCTATTCAATCCTAACTAAGCCAAGTATAACCTAGCTAGGGTTGCAGTAAGGTGGATCAATCGTATTCGAAGGGATCCCTAATTTTACTATTACTTTGCTATGAACTATTATCTAATCGGGTCGGAAGTTTGGTGAGTGGTTTTAACTAATTTAACTTACTCTTAAGCAAAATAAACAACCAACCAACAGGTTGGGAGAACGCTAGAGATGAGACAGTTGCCTAGGTTTAAATCCTCGTAGCTATGGTTGTCAAGGAGGGTTATCGAATGTGGTGAGTGAGCTCTATTCTGTCGGCTTTCGTCTTTATCCACATGCCTCCGAGAATGCCTCCCCTAAACCCATATATAGTCACCTCGATCTAGGCTATTGTATCTGGGGCATTAAGCTTATGGCTCATTTCAATGGACACTATCCATCGTCCACATTGAGGTTTTATCCCGGTTTCAATCTAGGAAGGTTAACCTACGGTAGGGGTTCGGTCGCCTCAACCACCCTAGGTCCATGTTCGCACATCTATCACGATTACCTTGATGGCGCATACCCGTCTAACCTAGAACTCCATACCCAACGTAGAAGCATAAAGTAGGCTAATAGGGAAGATTAGGGCGCCCTACCCCAAACGCAATCAATGATAGAATAACAATAGAATCAACTAGATAAACACATTCATACATAACCCATTTATACAAAACCTATAAACTAGAGCTCATCTTCCCTAAACAACCATTAGAGATTCAAGTCATTAGAGAGAAGAAGAAAACACAAACTAGAATAGGGGAATGATGGAATCAAGCTTCTTCTCCTTGCTTGCACCTTCTCCTTGCTCCTTGGGTTGATTAGATCTTCAATGAAACTCTCCCAACTCCCAAGGTGTTTCCCTCTCTAAAATAATCCAAAACCCTAACTTTCTCACTCTAAGGCAGCTCTCCCTTTTCTCTCCAAAAGCTCCACTGTTTATAGGTGCTGGAAATCTCGAGCTAGTTCGCGGCCGCGAACTTCAGTGTCGTGGGCGTGATCTTTTTCCTTAGTTTGGATCAACATTTTCCTCAGAGAGAGTTAGGAAACTCTCTGTATTCCCAGCGACGCCTCCTCCTAGAGTTCGTGATCAGCGTGCTCAATTTCGCGGTCCTGATCTCCTGGCTTTGGCCCACGATCTTTTGGTAGACTTCGCAATCCATATTCGCGATCGGGAACTAGAGCCCTTCAGTTGCGAACTTTGCCCTGTATGGTTTTCCCCCTCGTTTCTACACATTCTTACCCATTTTCTCCCCGTCTTGGCTTGTAATGTCGAATGCATCCCAAAACAGTATAATAACCAAAATGGAACGAAATGGGCATTCAACTGACACTTTGTAAAACAATTGAAGATCATTTTGGTGTTATCAGTAAACTATGTGTAATTAGTCCCGAATCAAGTAGTCAACTTCATCTATAACTTATAATATATCTTTAAAGTATATTTATCCAACTTTAATATTCTTGGTGCATACCCCTATCCACGAGGTCGTTTTTACAATACGTGAAATTGGACAAACTTGTGCACGAGGTCTCGTCATACGCGAGAGAGCTATTAAGCACAAATATCATGAGTAACATACTAGGTAGACAAACATGAGTAGTCTCTTGTCATGGTGATCTAACAATTTTCCTAGGAGGAATGTCTCTTCATACCTAGGGCACTCATCGATTGCTTTTGCACAAGCATTAGTAATTTCTCGTCTGTAATGTATGACCAATTTTGACATACATTTTGTGCATGTTTTAGGCCTCATATATTAGGGTTTTGAATGTCATAATCATCATGATCTGGCCATTTTGGGTTAATTTTATGCTATATGTGAATTAATGTTGAATCCCATAGGACATAACATGATTTTTATCAGTCTTTGGCTATTTGGCTCCTGACTTTCTCATTATAATTATATGCGAGGTTGTATTTTCAGGCAATCCAGAGATCATTTGGAGGGTGAAAGGAAACTTTGGGCTAGGAACCTATTCTTCGGTCATAAACTCGAGCAAAGTGGAGAGGGAGAGGGAGAAGTTGATGGTCTAATAGGTTGTCTCACAAGCAGGGGACCACAACAACAATAACAATAAATTCATGATCGTGAACTTTATATTTGACCCATGAACATAGTCATACATCACGAATTGACTTTAGCTCTGACCTACATTGTTATTTCAAAAGTTAACGGAATGAAGCCAAAGTTTATGGACTTGAACTTTGATAGACCCGGAATCTAGGGTGCGTGGAATGCGGTGAAATTGGGAATTAGGTTAGATCAATTACGGATTGATCTAGGGAACTGGGAATTGGAAGAACGAGTTGATAGAGAGGAAGTGATATGATCCTAAATGGCCAACTCTACACGTTTTTATTACTTGACAAAGAAGCTATCGAAGTTGGGAAGAAGAAGGGCAGAATTTGGCTAAGTCAAAATCCGTGTTCAGGGTACATACTTTGGAGGCATGGTTCTCTCAATTGGCATATTGGAAATTCAATGTTAAGGGTTTGTTTTGCAGATAAAGTTACCATCTTTCCAATGGTATGCTTTATGGGTCCAGAAGATGTCATTAAGGTTGTTTTCCAAGTCCTCAAAGTTGCTACCTTAAAACTGGAAAACTGCCAGAAAATGACTAAGGCAGAAAACTGTTCTGTGAAGCCTACTTTGGAGCTCAATTCAAGGAGCATGGATGGGATTCAAGTCAAAAGGCTTCCACAACATAAAACTAGGTATGTTTGTGAACAAAGGGAAGGAATTGGATGAAAGATTGGAGTTTGGGAAGGCCTCGAACGAAAGGCGCGAAGTTAGTACGAAAGCTGCCTTTTGACTGTGTGCTGGCAGCTTACTTGCACTTGAAGAAAGAGAGTTTAAATCCGAATTTTGAGTTCTTTTTAGAGTAGATTTTTACCTTAATTGTTTCCTAGCTCTATTAGGTTTGTATTAGGTTTATTTGCCTTTAAATACTCTTCTATTTACGTTGTAAAAACAGAAGACTTTGTTGAATAGAAATCGAAACCGTTTGGTTTGTGCAAGTTGCGACTTGTTTTGGGTTTGGTGGATTCCAAACTTGCTGAGCTTGTGTATCGATTGAATAGTCACTTCAATCGTGGTCGAGCAACTACCCTTTTATACCAATCGAGCTATCCCCAAGTGTGGATTTGTCCTTTTGGTGCCGTTTTATCCAAGATCGTATTAAGAGCGCTTTGTTCTTGATTCGAGCTCAATCGATACTTCGATTGAGTCGTTAGCTGCGTGACTTTGATAACATACACCCCTCAGGGGCGTATTAAGTGGTATCAGAGCCCCGTTCAAGTCAGTGGCGAGAAGGATTGATCGAGGCTGTATTCGTCGAATTAAATCGCAAAAAAAAAATCAGACGAAAGCAGAGTAACAATGGCGGCAGCAGAGTTAGCAAATTCCATGATCTTCACGCGTTGTTTAATCGATGAGAAAGTGTGTTTGGTTCTCGTTGATGGAGGCAGGGAGAGGAATTTAATCTCCTCCAGAACAGTGGTCAAGTTAGGGCTGCAATCACAGCTACATCCAGCCCCCTACAACGTCCAATTACCGTACGAAAAATACCCAAGTTTTGTGATTTCTCAGGTGGTTGTGGACTTTTCGATTGGTTCGTATAAAGATAGAGTACTGTGTGATGTGGTTTACAACTTGCCCAGCCATATTGTTTTGGGACAGTCTTGGTTTCATGATCGACAAGTTCGGCTGGTTAGCAGAAGAAGCAAGCAATTTCGATTGAAGCATCAAAGCAAGGCATTTATTTTGAAGCCTTTGGCTGTAGAAGAAGCTTTGGATGACTTGAAGGTGATGCAGCGACTTCAAGACAAGTACAGGTCGTCGTTGGTGGCCAGGCCATTGTCGGTGAGCAGCAACTTTGTCCAACCTCTGCTCGGAGCTGGAGCCCTCTGTTCCTCGATGGCAGTACAGGGTAGTGAGGAAAAAGAATCGAACAGCGACATGGGGGAAGATTCGATCAAGCCCAATGCATCTGAGACGATTGTCGACACCCCTGGAGTGAATTCCACGGAAGGAATTGACTTGATCCGAGTCGAAAAGTCGACTTTCATTCAGGGCGAATACCTCTGTTCTCCGACGCCGATGCAGGGGAAGAAAGAGAGTGAATCGGTTAGAGCAGTTGGGGCCAACCTAGATCAAGCTCGAGACCTCGACACAGTCAGTGAGATGGCGAGAACGTGCTGTGCGGTTCAATTGGAGTTGAAAGGCGTCGAGGACGAAACGCCCAATTCAGAAATCTCAACCCAAAACGTGAAGCAAAACGAAACCAAGAAGGTTGAATCAGTTGAAGCGATTGGGCACGAATCGATCAAAACGGAGACCTTGGGCATGTTACTGATGTTCCAAGGAAGCTCGGGAAGTCTTCAATTTGGTGCAGAGATAGCGGAATCAAAAATGCCCAAAGTTGAATGGGCCTCGCCGGAATCAGGCAAATTGCTGCCGGATTCTGGGAATTCAAACGGTGCAGACGGCGGGAAAATCGTTCTTTGCAATTGGGATCTAATCGAGCGCAATCGAACTTTGATAACGGTGGTGATCGATTCATGGAAGCCAGGTGAAGCGAAAGGAGGCAATGAATTTGAACAATATGGCGCAGAGATGAAATACCCAAATTCGACGAAGTCGTCGGAAACCTCGGGTTCGCCGGAATCTGCAAAATGTTTGTCGGATTCTGGAAAACGGCCAACTGCGATTCTGGATGTATTCGAGCACACTGATTGCGTGGGGAAGGTCCGTTGGAGCCCTACGAATCTAATGAAGCTCAAATCGTGGAGAAAAGAAGACAATTTATGGGCTGGAGAAGAATTTGAAGTTCAAATTTTTTTGCCAAAAAGTGTGTTTGGGCAGTCCACTTTCGATCCAATTTGGGATCAATTCTGTGAAGGTTTTGACAAAAAGAATGATCAAGCTTTGAGGGCAAAGCTTTTTGAAGAGGGGGAGCCTGATATGATCCTAAATGGCCAACTCTACACGTTTTTATTACTTGACAAAGAAGCTATCGAAGTTGGGAAGAAGAAGGGCAGAATTTGGCTAAGTCAAAATCCGTGTTCAGGGTACATAATTTGGAGGCATGGTTCTCTCAATTGGCTTATTGGAAATTCAATGTTAAGGGTTTGTTTTGCAGATAACGTTACCATCTTTCCAATGGTATGCTTTATGGGTCCAGAAGATGTCATTAAGGTTGTTTTCCAAGTCCTCAAAGTTGCTACCTTAAAACTGGAAAACTGCCAGAAAATGACTAAGGCAGAAAACTGTTCTGTGAAGCCTACTTTGGAGCTCAATTCAAGGAGCATGGATGGGATTCAAGTCAAAAGGCTTCCACAACATAAAACTAGGTATGTTTGTGAACAAAGGGAAGGAATTGGATGAAATATTGGAGTTCGGGAAGGCCTCGAACGAAAGGCGCGAAGTTAGTACGAAAGCTGCCTTTTGACTGTTTGCTGGCAGCTTACTTGCACTTGAAGAAAGAGAGTTTAAATCCGAATTGTGAGTTCTTTTTAGAGTAGATTTTTACCTTAATTGTTTCCTAGCTCTATTAGGTTTGTATTAGGTTTATTTGCCTTTAAATACTCTTCTATTTAAGTTGTAAAAACAGAAGACTTTGTTGAATAGAAATCGAAACCGTTTGGTTTGTGCAAGTTGCGACTTGTTTTGGGTTTGGTGGATTCCAAACTTGCTGAGCTTGTGTATCGATTGAATAGTCACTTCAATCGTGGTCGAGCAACTACCGTTTTATACCAATCGAGCTATCCCCAGGTGTGGATTTGTCCTTTTGGTGCCGTTTTATCCAAGATCGTATTAAGAGCGCTTTGTCCTCAGGGGCGTATTAGGAAGAAGAGTTTCGGCCGAGGCCTAGAGAAGAGAGGGAGGATTTCGGCTAGAGAGAATTAGACAGAGGGGATTAGGGTTTTAATATTCTTATTATGCCTAACCGTAAACCTGACTTACACCGATACTTATATTAATAAAAAATTATTTCATTTACTACCCGAAATAATAACCTACTCATAATATTCCCTCCCCAACAATAAACCAATCATAATAATCCGAATAATAAACCGACACCTAATAACTATAAAATGTGTCCATCATCCCTTCCCCTAGAAGCCCAACCTTGCCCTCAAGGTTCCTCCTTCTCGTTTCGATCCTCCTTTATTTCCATGCCATCTTCCCCATCTCCTTCATCTTCCCAACGCCCCAGGAACATCATCAAATTCGGTTTCTTGCACTGGTGCCCAAAAATGAACTTCTCATTGCAGTTGAAGAATTTCTCTTCCCTCCTCTGCTGCTCAATCTCAGCAGGGGTCAAGCGCAAAAACCCATTTGGTGGCGCACATATCTTGGCGTGAGTGACTCCCCGTCCGGCAGCTCCACCGAATCCCGAGCTCGCATCCGCACCCGCTGCCGTGATTCCTCAGCCACTTCCTGTCGCCACGGCTGATCCGCCGCTCCCACTCGAATCCGGGTACCTCCCCACTGCACTCCTCCAACTTGCAATCTAATCCACCTTGAGCCCTACCAAACGAAAAGCAGATCTCAACAAGTCAAGCTCGAAAACTCGTACCGCAGCAGTAATCTCCGGGCACAACCCTGCCATGCACAGCCTGACCAAGGTTTCTTCTGGAACGCCCTTGTACTAATTCAAAAGCTTAAGAAACTCCGTCCGATTCTCGGCAACTGTTCCTGACTGCCTCAACTTCGCTAGCTGCTCCGGCGCCCATCCATCAGATTTTCCGAACTGGTATTGAACTTCCTCCTGGAATCAAGACCACGATATGGGTGTCCTCATCTCCCCGTATGTCTTTTCCAACCACTCCCACCACTACAGTGCATCACCTTCTAAGTAGAAGGACGCCAGATAGGCCTTTCTCTCCTTCCGCACATCATGGTTCTTGAACCACCTGTCAGCTGCATACAACCATAACCAAGCATCCTTGTGACCATTGAATTTTGGGAATTTGATGGTCAGAGGTTTAGCTCGAAATACCAGGTCTCCATCCCCTTCATGGTTCAGCCATACCCACCATACCCTACCGACACCTGGCGTAACCGCGCGATGATGACCTGTGGTCGTTTCTGCTCCCGCTTCGATACCCACGTGCCAACATAATCTTCTTGTCTTTTCATCTCCTTTCCCTCGATACCTGGCGTAGACGCCCCCCAGCCCATCTCACGCCATCCGACAGTCTCTCCTGGTTCGGGAATGAGTTTGGCCCAACCCACCCATTTCCGCCCATGCACTAGTCCTGCCATGACCCGTCAAACTCCTTTCTTCATCCTCCTCCTCCCGCATCTCAGTCTGCCCAAACGTCACGTTTTGAATGACGTGTCATACCCATCCATTTTTTATTTTCCAGTCCGTGCCGCCATAATCTCCTCCTTAGCCAAAGTTGGCAGGGCGGAGTTAGCAGCAGCCAATTGCCCTGCCCTAGCTTCCGTGGAGCTTGAATGACCCAAGTTCCCTCCACCGCCCCCGGCGGCACTCCAGTCTTGGCAGTCTCGTCGCCCTCGAGCGCTGCGCACTGCTCCACCGCGTTTGGGGTCGCCCGGATCCACCATCCTTTGGCTCGGTTTTGGTCGGCAGCCCAACCTCCCGGCTTGCATCTGTGCTCGCCACCATGGACAGCCCCCCGGACAATTGCACCAACACCTTTGAAAGCAACAACACCATCTGATCAGCATTGGCGTTAGCTTTTTCAACAGCCAACCTTGCATTCTTCACAACCTGGTGAATGGAACGGTTTACCTCTTTCATCGTTTCTTCTAGGTTTTCTTGCATCCTGGAAAACTTGAACATCTTGGTCTGAACCGCCTGGTCCGGATCCTCGACACACTCTCCATTGCGTGGTGGTGGTATCAGCGCCTTCTCCATGGCGTGCGCCGCCTTGGCACCCTTCGCCGGGTGGTCGGAGTCGCTTCGTCACCTAGCTTTGACGGGGCTACAGTCGACGTGGTGACCTTGTTGTCACCAGTTTTCTCTTCTGTGATCTTGTGGTAGTCATGTTCGATAGTCCTCCACACCCAACTGGCGCTTTGATACCAAGATGATAGACCCCAGAATCTAGGGTGCATGGAATGCGGTGAAATTGGAAATTAGGTTAGATCAATTAGGGATTGATCTAGGGAACTGGGAATTGGAAGAACGAGTTGATAGAGAGGAAGAAGAGTTTCGGCCGAGGCCTAGAGAAGAGAGGGAGGATTTCGGCTAGAGAGAATAAGACAGAGGGGATTAAGGTTTTAATATTCTTATTATGCTTAACCGTAAATCTGACTTACACTGATACTTATACTAATCGACTATTATTCCATTTACTACCCAAAACAATAACCTACTCATAATACTCCCTCCCCAATAATAAACCAATCATAATAATCCGAATAATAAACCGACAATTACTACTAATTCCTAATAAATAGAAAATGTTTCCATCAAACTTGAACCTAGTCACATGTCTATAAGTACTTGAGTTGTTTTTAGACAAAGGGCATCCTATAGAGAGAAAAGCATAGTGCCTTGAAGCTGTAGAGTGAGAGTGACAATTTATACGTATTTTAGAGCCTAAACTTCATTATCCAACCTCAAAACCATCAAAGAACAAGAAGGTAAGATGAAATCAAGGTGGAGAAAGTGATTCTACTCATGGCCTGGTCTCATTTTCCCTATTTCAACTCCATTTTCTCTCTCTATGATCTAGCTCTCTAGTTTCTTAGGTAGATGAACTCTAGCTTAGGGATTTGATTTGGGTATGTTTATAGAGCATGAATGTGAACCTATTATCTATATCTATTAATGGTTAGTCATGATTTCCTTATGCTTATGTTGAATATTTGGATTTGGGGATTCTTGACCTATGAGAGAGACCATCTATTTAGCTCAATGTTTAGAACACCGTAATACAGTGAAGTTATAATTGCATGATCATTGGATTGTAACTCCAATTTAATGCATTTAAGGAGTCCAAACCTAATGTTCTTAGTATGTAGTTGGTTAAATGACCACTGAGATAACCTATCTATCTAGAAGAGTGATTAACTGCATGCCCATTGACTTGATCATTAGTCTACATGATTCTTTGCAATTTAGAAGATATGAAGCATTCATTGATTTTCATACTTGGATCCAACCCATGCCGACCTACAGCTAGAGGGATTCAATCCTGACGTGAACCAAGCTTTAATATTTGTAACCTCGAACATCAACACACTGACGAATCCAATTCGAGACAAGTATAACTCAAATTGGCGAGGTAGTATAGCGGTGACCGAGTTCGTATTCCAGGGGTCCCTGTGCTTATTATTAATTTATCTAAACTACTATCCCGGCAAATAGTAAATTGAATTAAAAACTAACCTAACCTAACTAATCAACCAACCAAGTTGTGGGGAGGTCGCTAGAAATGAGATGGTTGCCTAGGACCAAATCCTCCTAGTAGTATACCAGGTAGTCGGTTGAACTCTATTGTCGTTCGAGGTGCGGAGTTCACTTATGTGGGGATCATTGCAATGATCAACCCGTTGATCCCCCTCCTAGCCACATCCCCCGGCCCAATTCCACCACAATCGGGTTTAGTGACTAGGGATAACACTCTATCTCCTCTAAACGGGTTTCACCCATCCACACACAAGGGACTCAAGTGGACAGTTACTCACTAGAATGCCAAGCATTACCTAAGTGAGCTCGTAGTTGGAAAAGGATGGTCATCTTGTCCACCAACAAGGAATCAAGACCGACTAACTCAGCTAAGGGAAGTCATTCACATACAATCAAGTTATAACCCAAATCAACTTATGCTAAAATATGGAATATTGGCATACATGCATTTACCTACAAATTGAAGTAGGCTAAAATATAACATACATGCATTCATCCATCCCTAGCTCATAAAGAAGCATTAGATACTATATAGATAAACTCAAAATATGATGGATATCATTCAATCCACAAACCTTAACTACATACTAGGATTCATCTATCCTAAACAAACTTAGTGTTTTAGGTCATAAAGAGTGAAATACAAATAAAGAAGAGAGGAAATTCTTGGATTCATGTTCTCCTCCTTGGATGACACTCTTTTCATGAATCTTGGATGAATTCCTCCATCCCAAGCTCCCTCAAGGTATTTCTCTAACTAAGAACTGACCAAAAATGTGATTCATATCTTAGTACACCACGAATGTGATTCAGCGACAGGCTTCATCACAACAATTTTCTTTTTGTCTATCACTGATGGAACTTGTTGCAATATCAAGCTCCATTGATTGTCAAAAGTCAAGTTAGTTTCTAGTGTTGTCGATATTCTTCTTTCTCCTGGGCTTTAGGTTTTGCCTCTAGTCTGGTCCATATATGAAATTCACCCCAAAATGCCAAAGAGGCATGAAAAGGTACAAAAACACAACTAAGGTCTCATAATCTCACATTGGGCAATAAATCATTCCAATCATAAAACTTCCAAAACTTCATTAAATAGTATTGGTTTTAACCAAAAATGTGAAAGACAAAATATCTCGTTTCTAGTTTCACCAAATTACCACACTATTTAGGATTTCTTGTCCTTGAGAAAGGACTAACCATAATCGTAAAACTCATGAGCACCAAAAATAACACTTTGATTGTTTGTGGTGGATCAGAAAAAGCTTATAGGATAGCATTCACACAAAAGATCTTGGCCTTGTTAATGAGCTACAAATCTCTTAAGAAATCTTACATGTTCTAGTCCATCACAAATAACTAATGCATGAGGGTCTAAAAACGTGGGAGTGAGCTTTTGGCAATTTTGATTTTCATGAGAATTTCTCTAGCTTTTCTGACAAATGATTGAGGGGAATGTTTCAAATAATCGCTAGATAATGTTTCAAACAATCGAAGTAAGGGTATATGGTCCGGCCCAGGTTGATATTTAAGCATACTTGCCCTACATTGCACCCGGTTAAGGTTTATACGTGGGTTTTAATTGGGATTTTTTTTGTGGTATTTTGGATGACTCAAGTTTTTGGCACCGTTGCCGGGGAACTTCCCTTCCGCTATTTTGAAAAGATTGTTTTGTGTTAATCTATCTTTACTTTTTGCTTTTGTGTGTGTGTGAATCTTGCTTGTGTTAGTCGAGTTGTGGTTCTTTTAAGTGTGTGCAGTAGGGTGTATGACCCGAAATAATCCGACACCTTTAGCACTACTAGACGAAAATCTCAACCGCACTCTCCAACTATTGGGCCGTGAGAGGGAGCTGGCAAAAGCAAGAAGAAGGATAGAGGATAGGGAATAACCACAAGTTGATCCCAAAGTTGAATGAGTTGCATTTGAGGAAGAATTTCAATCCGAAGAGGAAGGAAGTGAAACCGAGATGGCAGCTAAGGAGCTTAAGCGGGAGTTGCGGAGCAACCGAGGACCATGGGCTACTAAATGGCTCAACGGTTGACGAATATTTGGCCTACCATCTGTGGCCGCCAACAATTTCGAGATCAAGCCCGGCCTTGTCACAATGATCCAAAACAATGTGCAATTCCATGGGCTTAGAGATGAGTTTCCGAGGGAGCATGTTCAGAGGTTTATCGAGATTGCGGGACATTTCAAGATAAATGGTGTACCCTAAGATGCTTTGAAGTTGAGGCTATTCCACTAATCTCTTGTGGGGAATGCGCTCAGGTGGCTCAACAATAGACCCCCCCATTACCTCATGGGACGACTTGCTCAACAAGTTCATGACCCGAAATTGCCCACCTTCCAAGATGGCGGAGTGGCGCAAAAAAATCACCCATTTCGAACAAGAGGAGGATGAGACATTGAGGGATGCATGGGAGAGATTTTCTGACTTTTTTCCTCCAATGCCCACATCATGGATTTGAGGAACAGTTTCGGATTGAGACCTTCTATGATGGCCTCCTCCAAGATGACAAGATCATTATTGACTCTATATGTCAAGGGAAATTGATGAACATGACTACACCCCAATTGACCGAAATGCTTGAAGATGTGGCAACAACAGGGTATGATTGGGGCTTGACAAAAAGCGGTAGAAGGGACACCAAGAGAGGAGTACATTTGGTGGAAGCAAGTCCTCCGCTTGCCGCTAAGATTGACGGTTTGATTGATGCTCTCCTTGAAGATAAGAAGCAAGGGAAGAAGTTGTTGATGGCGTGTGATTGGTGTTCGAGTACCAACAATGAGATTTCAAAGTGCCAATTGATGAAGGAAGCAAGCACCACCGAGGAACAAGTGAGCTTAATGGCTAATGCTAGGAACAACAATCCCTAGACAAACACTTATCACCCGGGGTGGCGGAATCTTCCAAACTTCCCTTGGTCTTCCCCAAGTAATCCGAGACCCCCCGGTTTCCAAGGAACGACGGGGGATTATCAACCAAGGCCTCCCTTCATTCAACAAAGGCCTCAGTTTCAAGGCTCGAACTTCCAACAACCGTTCCAATCTCATGGCTGTCAAGGGTTCCAACAACAACCCGATAAGTTTGCAAAGCTTGAAGCCCGAATGACCACCTTTGTGAGCACGAGCACTCAAAAGTTTGAGAAGATTGGGCAATTTATGGATGTGGAAACAAAAAACACGAGCACTCAAATCGGCAAACTTTCTGCGATCCTCACTGAGAGACCGAGGGAGCTCTTCCCTCCCAAACTATCGTCAACCCCAAAGATCAAAATGTTGGGTTCAATGCTATTCGTTTGAGACGTGGGAAGGTGACCCCGAAAGTTGTTGTTAAGGAAGTAACCGAAGAAGAGAAGACTCCTTGAACGATCGACAAGCAAGAAGACATGGAAGGAGAGGAAGAAGAGACTAAGAAATCATTGCCGATGCCACCACAAGCGGCTGAGTACAAGCCTCCTCTTCCTTCCTCACGAGGATGCACAAGGACCGATTGAAAGCGGAATGTGGCGGATTCGTGGAGATGCTCAAGAAAATTCGCATCACAATTCCGTTTTTGGAAGCAATGGAGCATATGCCAAGTATCTCAAGGGGCTCCTCTCCAAGAAGCCAAGATATGAAGACCTCGCCCATGTCACCTTAGGAGAGGAGTGCTCTGCCTTCATTCTAAACAAGTTGCCCAAGAAGCAACAAGATCCAGGTAGTTTCACTATACCTCTATGCATCGGAACACATCATATAGAAAACTCCTTGGCGGACTTAGAAGCAAGCATTAATGTGATGCCTTACAAGAATTTTTGGAAGTTGAATCTAGGTGAGCTAAAGACTACTAGGGTTAGCATCAAATTTTATGATCGCTCTGCCAGAGGTATTGTGGAGGACTTCCTATTGAGAGTTGGCAAATTCTACTATCCGATGGATTTTATTTTCCTTGATATCAGTGAAGATGCGGATATGACACTCATTCTATGACGTCCCTTCCTTGCCACCGGCAAGGCCTTAATCGATGTTAATGAGGGAAATTTAATTTTGAGAGATGGAGAGGAGCAATTTACTCTCTCAATTTATCTTAAGGCTAAGAATGAGGATGTGAAGGAAATGGACTCGAATGGTATGATTGCAAGTGAAGGCGAGCCTCTCAAAGCGAACTCGACTCTTACTTGTGTTCCTTGTGGTGATGTGAAATAGGAATTTAGGAGGGTATCAAACTCAAAGGAAAGAAGAAGAAGCTTGGAGAGAAAAGATGAAATCACGCATATACTCGAAAGAAGGATAAGGGTAAAGCAAGGTAGTTGGCCAAGAGGACCATCCTTTGGAGCTTAAGTTGGAAGGTGGCAAACTTCGGACCGAGATAGTGGCGGATCCATTCTCGGTGGTTTCATTCTCTCAAGCATGATAGATCCACAACGTCAAGCTAGTGACGTTAACCTAGCGATTTTTGGGAGGCAACCCAACGTTGGTTTATTTTCTTTTCCTTGTTTTCTCTTTTTTTATTGAGTGAAGAATTGAAGTGGATGAATGTTTATCACCGTGCCAGCATGTTGTGTCTGATTGATTGGATTTTGAGTGTGTTTCAATTAGGGGCACGGTTGAGTAGGTCGAGTTTTGAAATTTTGGAAATGCCCTGTTTTCACTCAGTTCACGGTTTTAGCCTCATTATCACAAATCTTAGAGACTGTGATAATCGGGTGGAGACCATGAACAAGGATAGTTCCTGCTGCTTTTGAAACGCACCATTTTACCCGAGATCAGTGATGTGCCCAAAGTCGGGTCTAGATGGAATCAAAGTGCGCAGCAACTAGATCAAGCAAGGTACTTGATATCTAGTTGATCAGAACTCAATCCCAGCTCGGATTTAACGGGATTGAACTCGAATTCGGATGGAACGAAAGGGAATCCTTACACCTGGAAGAATGCACAATCGTGTAGTGAAGCTTGCGATGTGAACGAGTTTGTTTGCTCATCCAATAAGCCGGCCAACAAGCTTTGATCGCAATCAAAGCCAATTCAAACTCACAAACTCTCAAGCTTGGGAATTGGGGTAAAAACTTAATTCAATTCAACTATGCTTCTTACATTACCTTCGTATGTCCTTAAATAGACTTACAACAACCTTAAACATAAAGGAAACCCAAATTAACGAGGAAAAAACAAAACAATCCAAATCCTAAAGTAATACGGAAACTTAAAGCGCAAGTAAAACATAGTTTTGATGCCATCTTCAGAGCCCTCGTTGGCTGCCTTCCAATTGTCGAATTGATCACCCAACCCCTTTCTTTTGTACAAGAAAATACAGGCTCTCATGTGGTAAGAGCGTTGAAACGTGACTTCCAACAGGCTGTCGTGAAACACACCCCAAAGTAACCTGCTTTCAACTGCTCCATGCCTTAGGCAATTCCTGGCAGTTTGCCAGTGTTGCCATAGGGTTTTGTCGAGCTTGAAAACAACACTTCCCAGCCTCACCTCGAAGTCCCAACCATACCCATTTGTTCAACAACTTACAAGGTTCAAAACAAACCCTTCATCTCCAATTTCCATCAAGCCATACGCAAGAAACAGGCCGGTAAAGAAGGCTACCTGAAACAATTTCAACACTTAATCAAAATTCCAGATTCTGCCTTCCACTTGAACTTAACTCTTCGCCGGTCCATGGAAGCTTCAATGGTACATAAATTGGATCATATTAGTCCCCCTCTATTGAAAAAGCTTTGACCTCAAAGCTTGGGCCTTCCGTGCTTCAAATGAAACAATAAATTGATCCCAAATCGGATCCCAAGTAAGCTGATCAAACCCTGTGTGCTGGAAATCAATGGCGGTGTTCTTCACGGAACACATCGGGCTTTTCTCCACAGGGAACCCTAGTTCAATTCATCACTTCTCTGAGCTTTGTTAGTGGTCGAATTAAACTTCTGAAAGGATTGCTCGGGTCGACTTATCGCCAGCGGCGGCGAATCATCCTCTTTACTTTTCCCGATTTCATTGCCATTTAAAAACAACGAGCCCAAAATGTGGAATCCGGTTTTGGGGATTTTGATCCTAGGTAGTTGTTCTTCAAATTGACGAGTCGTAGAGCTACCTGAATCCTTCCTCAACGATTCTCCATTAGCGATTTGGGTCGAGTCGTTCCCGATTGCCCCGACCAATAACTCAAAATTTTGCTCGTATTCGGCCGTTTCCAAGGGCATTTTTGCTTGATCTTGAGTTGGTGATTGGCGCTAAGTTGGGGTCAATTGATCGATAGGAGAGCTTTGTGGTCCACCATGGAAGGTTCTTGCAGTGTCGGATTTGATTGAAACACCCCCAAGCTTTGGACTTTTTCCAGAAATACCACTGTTTAAAAAAAGAAATCCAAAAATACCACTCAACCCCAAAAAATTCCAAAAATACCACCCTTTTTCAAAAACCGCCACCCCACCCCTGCGGTTTGCACGAAAACCAGTGGGCGGGGGCGCAATTTTCTATGCAAACCGATGGGCTAAGGGGCGGTTATAAAAACCGCTGGGTGGGGCGGCGGTTTTGGGCCAAACCGCCACGCCACCCAGCGGTTTGGTCCATTTTTTTCGATCAACTCCTAACTTCGGCCGAAACTTCAAACGAACGTAACTTTGCACTCGGGTATCCAATCGTAGCAATTTTTTTCAATCCGAATAACTTTTCGAGATCTACAACTTTTAATAGGATGAAATTTTCAAAACACGAATTAGTTGTGGATATACGTGACCTTGGGAATTACTTTACCTTTACTTTTCACAAATCCATGTACATTTCGAAATTATGATTATCTTAAAAGTTGTAGATCTTGAAAAGTTATGAAGAATAAAAAAAAATTCATGACGTTCGGATTTTGGAGCACAAAGTTAAGGTCTCCGAAAGTTTGACGAAATCTTAAAAAGGCTCGTTCGGGGTAGCAAATGACATTTTTTCGAGACGAAGGCGGGACCAAACCGCCTACGTAGATTGCGGCTTGCAAGATCTCAAAAAGTTATTCGGATTAAAAAAAATCGCTACGATCGGATACCCGAGTGCAAAGTTACGTTCGTTTGAAGTTTCGATCGAAGTTCGAAATTGATCGGAAAAAAAAAATGGACCAAACCACTGGGTGGGGTGGCGGTTTGGTCCAAAACCGCCGCCCCACCCAACGGTTTTTATAGGTTTTTATAACCGCCCTTTAGCTCAGCGGTTTGCATAGAAAACCGCGTGACCGCCCAGCGATTTTCGTGTAAACCGCAAGGTGAGGTGGCGGTTTTTGAAAAAGGTGGTATTTTTGGAATTTTTGGGGCTGGGTGGTATTTTTGGAATTCTTTTTTTAAACAATGGTACTTTTGGATTTTTTCCACAAGCTTCCACCCAATAGCTTCTCTCTCTTCCCCTGCTCAAACGTCGTCGGAAAACAGATCTGTTGCATCTCTGAAATTGGTCGTCATGGTTCTCGCCAAAGAGCGGTGAGTACAAATCTGTGAGTGACCAGAGTGACATCCCTGCTCGTTCCTTCCTTCGAAGTGTTGGACCTCCCTTCGTCTTGGGTTCGACTGGCGGCTAATTGTCGTTGGTCATCTCGGACCTCAGCTGGTGTCAAAGGTTGCAGCTTGAATTTCTTATTTTCGAGCTGGAAGGTGTAGCAGTTGGTCCTCCCATGGTGCCTAACGCCTCGATCGTACTGCCACGGACGGCCCAAGAGAACATGGGCGACGTGCATCAGCGCCACATCGCAAAGGATTCGATCCTTGTACTTGCCAATTTCAAACTTCACCCACACTTGGTTCGTAACCTTTACTGCGCCATGATCATTAAACCAATGGAGGCTATACGGTTCTCGGTGCTTCAACGTGCTCAATCCGAGCTTCCTAACTGTTACCAAACTGACCCCGTTGGAACAACTTCCCCCGTCAATCACCATAGACGTTGTCTTCCCATGAATTAGACAACGAGTGTCAAACAAATTATCTTGTTGCTGGGTTTCACACTAAGCTTCAATGGTGAGGGCTCTTCTGTTCATGAAGGCTAGCTTTCCAAGTTGTGTCTCCGCAATGATCTCCTCATCAACTTCTTCATTGGAGGGACCTTGATCGGGCCTCTTCTCCTCATCTTCTGAATCGGAGTAATACGCGCCATCGCGAAGAACCAGGGCCTTCGGATTTGGGCATTGAAATGAATTGTGCCCACGCCTATGACATTTGAAGCACTCCAATTTGCTTGTCCCTCCTCCAGGCCATTCCAGTTCGCCTTATTGAACGACTGGTATCGACGTTGTAAGTCGATTTGTGGTGTTAGCTTCGGCTGGTGAGGTCTCTGGAGCATTGTGCTGCCTCGTAACAGAGGATGTCGCACGGTGTCCCGCCCCACCCTTTAGTTGTTTCTCGACCTTGATTGCAAGGTGTACTACTTCCTCCAAGTCCACGAATTGACGCAATTCCACCTCGTTTCGGATTTCTCTGTTGAGACCGTATAAAAATCGAGAAATTGTGGCTTCTTGATCCTCTCGAATGTCAGCCCGAATCAAGAGCAGCTCAAGCTCTTTAAAGTAGTCAACCACGAACCTCGTACCCTATCGAATGACCTACAAGGACTCGTGCAATTCGCGGAGATAATACGTTGACACGAACCGCTCCCTCATCAACCCTCGTAACTCTTCTTAGGTCGTCACAGGAGGTCGCATATTCTGTTGCCGATGGAGACGCACTTGCTCCCACCATTGAGCTGCGTAATCTGTGAACTCGTATGTAGCCAAGGCGATTTTCTGTGAATCGGTGTAGTGACCGCACTGAAAGAAGAAAAGGATCTTCCTCTCCCAATCCAGAGGCATTGATTGTACCCTGGAATGTTGGAATCGAAAGCTTGATTCCCCGCCGCTCCGTAACTGGTACCTCCTCTGTTTCGCGATTCATCCTGAGAAATCTTTTGTGATACTGGTTGAGCGGTTGGGGATCGTTAGCATTGACGTCTAGGGCAATCAATTGCCTTTCTAGCTCCAGTACTTGTTCAGTCAAGGCCTGTTCTTGCCCTGTGTTTCCTGGACTTGTCGGAGTGCTCTGGTTTTCCGGCGATAGGCCACCGTGTTCGTAGGTGGCACGAGTTCTGGGTGGAATCGCTGCTGTTTTCCTACCATGCTGTTTTCCTACCATCGGGGTAACATCTGGCGTTGCATTGTTTTCGAGCGATTGGGTCGCTGCTGCTGTGCTTGTTTCTTCTTATTCTTCTTCTCCGAAAGCAGGACATGCGGATTACTAGGAATAGGGCCTTTCGACCTTGTCCAGTACGTTGTTCCTTCGCTGCTTTCCTCCGGTGGAACGTCTCCTTTGCCGCTATGTAGAACTAGGATCTAGATGCCACTTAATGAGCCCAAAGTCGAGTCTCGATGGAATCAAAGTGCACAACAACTAGATCAAGCAAGGTGCTTGATCTCGAGTTGATCATAACTCAATCCCGGGTCGAATTATACGGGATTGAACTCAAATTTGGATGGAACGAAAGGGAATCCTTACACCTGGCAGAATGCACAATCGTTTAGTGAAGCTTTCAATGTGAACGAGTGTGTTTGCTCATCCAATAAGCCGTCCAGCAAGCTTTGATCGCAATCAAAGCCAATTCAAACTCACAAACTCTCAAGCTTGGTAATTGGAGCTTTCTACTGAGGCTCCGACAACACTACTGCGAACTCCCGCGTCCTGTTTTTTGGACAATTTTCAAACCCCTCTCCCTCTCCTCACCTTCCTCTTCGACCCTACTTGCATCTCCAGGTCTGTTTCAAACCTTTCCTTTGTCGTTTTTGGATAATTGGGTTAGAGTTATTAGGTGAGGAGAATTGGGAAAATTTGGCATGCATGATGAAATTGGGCAAGGGGAATGTCGAATGTGGTTGATTGAATGTTGCATGAAGTGTTTGTTTAGTTAATTGAGCCTTGGTGGGAAAGTTTTGGAATGATTTTGTGGTTTGAATTGAGAATTCCCACCAAGTGCAGTATAAGGAAAAATTTCTTGATACAGTTGTGTGAATGATGGTTGGCAGCCATCGAAGCATGGTTTTGGTTTGATATTTTTACTCAGAAGAACCATGAATCACCTAGAACCATGTCTCGATGAGCTTTGTATGTGTTTGAGATTAAATTGTTTGAAATCGGATCTTGTGAAAAGACTTCAAAGGCATAGGACCTTAATGGAATCTTAAGTGTGGGGGAATTCTTTTCTCTCCAATGATTTGAGATTGATGAATGTTTCCATGTATCGTGCATGTCTTTGACGTTTTGCAGGATGGTTTATGTGAATCACCCATACATGGAAGTGATAACATGGGTGCCACTCCTTGTGGGCGATTTGAAATTTTTGAGAAAGACTCCAACAAGGGCCCACGGGGATGTCATGAAGAGGGCTGTGGCGCACCCTCATTGGTGCCAGCTCCTGGAGATGGAAGACGACACTTACATAGAGCTTTGTGTCGAGTTCTTCACCACTTTCTTAATCCATCAAGGCAAAGATGTGATAGGACATCGGGATCCTGTTATTAAGTTCCGCTTGGGCGCATTGAATCATAAAATGAGTTTTGATGAGCTTGTCCAAGCCATGGGAATTGAAGAAAGGTCGGGGTCAGATTTTGAGGTGGATGCCATATAAAGTTTTGACTTTCGAGCAGCTTTCAAGAGTTTTTGCCTACCGAAAAATAGACAAACCTAGTTTGAATCGCGCGCACCGTGGCAACCACACTCGTGCCCTAATGGTATGTCATCAACACACTTTTTTCCCGTTACATCCTCTCAAGCTACATATCTGACAACAATATTACCGAGAGAGCCCTCCTTGCCTTCACTTCCATGGCGGACCCAAATCATCGCCTCCACCTCGGTTCCGTCCTGGGAACATCCTTCAGCAAAGCCCAAGGTAGCCAATGAAACAAGATCATGTCATTGGGGCCCTACATCACACAGATTGCTAGGCATTTTCTTGTTAACCTCGAGTGCTGCACAAAAGAAGGTCGCTCGTCGTGGGAGGACACCTTGGACTCCATGAACCTACTTTAAGTATTTGGACCATATCAATTTATTGAGGGTATTTTCACCCCATCAGGGGTTCCTCCTCCTTAGCAGGAGAGAGCTCCAGACCCTGCTGTCGTGCCGCACCACCACCATCATCAGCTGGAGCTGGTTCCTCATCCGGAGTCCAGTTGGTGGACCGAGTCACACACCTTGAGGAGTAGGTCATGGGGGTTAACACCCGCCTACACCGCTCCACCGACCTTCTGGTGTGGATTGTCTGCAAGCAGGGTGTCTTGTCCGATGACGAGCAGGAGGACTGGCCCAGGACTAGCGAGAGGTAGTCGACCGAGTGAGACATGTGGCAGATCTGATTTATTTCACCCCACTTCTCCACTTGAAACTCTGAACTCTATTATTTTTCTTTTCTTTAGTGTGTGAACTAGTACTTTTGTGAGCTTTTCTTCCTTTTTATCGTGATGTGGAATATTGTTATGTGTAATAACTTGGCCTCAAGAAAGAATGTGCTTGTGTTTTGTGTGTTTTCTCCTCCTCTTTGGAAGCTCAAATCTCCTACCCTGGAAACTGTTCCACTTTCACTCGCCAAGCTTTTCGGTAACTTCACTCTAGCCCCTATTTTACGCCATTGTGGGCAATGTTGAGCTTAAGTGTGTGTGTGTGTGGGGGGGGGGGGGAGTTTATTATTGTGCTTGCGTTTTTGATTAATTGCTTGGAGGCTTGATATATGCCCAAATTTTCAAATTTGAGGGCTCCAAGCGTTGCATGATCAAAGTGGCCGGTTTATGGGTGAATCTCATGTATATTGGCTTTCACCGTGAATCGATTGCGTCAAGTGTTTCCTATTACTATTAAGTGTGTCCTATTACGATGACTGAGAATTGCGTCAAGTGTTTGCAAAAGCCTAGTTCTCATGTGTGCTTAAATGAATGGATGTCTTGAGTTGGTTACTCTTTGATCACAATTGCCTTGCATAGAATTTTGTGAAATTGGAATAGATGATTGGGTGATTAGGTACATTGTGAGTTTTGTGCCGATCATCTTCTTCTTGTGTGCTAAGATCCCTTTTACCATGGCAAGCAACATTCACCATTGTCCCTAGTGAGTATGATGGAGGCATAGGATTAGTCCACGCCCAAAAGTTGATTGTCCCGAAACATCTTATCCCCTAGTCAACCCCTTTGAGTCGTGTGACTTTGAGGGTCGTTCTAATGTTAGGAATTTTGTGCTTGTTGAGCTTAATGGTGATTGATATATAGAATGACCCCATATCCATTCTTCATGTCTAAATGTGCGTCGTCCTTGTGTCTCGGAGCTCTCGCTCTTGAGCTCCATTGAGGTTTTACATAGGAGGATTTTGCACGGTTCTTGCTAGGAATGAAGAAGTAGTGTTGGAGAAAGTTCTTAATTGAGAGCATTGTTCATTAAGTGTCAAGTTGGCAAATGTTTAACTCTCTAGTATCCCTTTAAAAAAAGAGAAACAAAAGAAAAAAAAAGAAATGGAAAGTGGAAAGTGGAAAAAGGAAACGACAAAGGTAATAAAACGGGGTAAATAAAAGTAGAGAGTTGCAACAAAAGTCTAAGTGGATGCTCTAGAAAGGGTTTCTTGGCACTCAAGAGTCAAGACATTAAAACACCTAAGTGTTTGTTAACCTCCTTCACTACTATGATTGAGAAGTGGATAACAAGAAAAGATCGAGGAAGTGTGCTTGAATGTAGTTCATGGTTAGTAATGGTTTGGGAGAAGGGAAGAGCGGTTTTGGGTCATTGCTAGTGTCCTTGATTGTAGGAAAGGTTCTAGTGAAACCATGGAACCTTTGGTTTTAGCTTGACGATATAGGACCTCATGTTATGTTTGCCACTGCCCAAAAGGCCTTTTCCCATGTCCAAGACAATTGCCAGTCATTTGAACTCGTGTCTATGACCTCTAGACAAGCTAGTGATGACATTGTTCTGTGAACTCTAACATTTAGAGGTTGCCGCCATGGTGAAGAGACGATAGGTCTGAGTGTTGATGGTTGTGCACATCTTTTGCACCAAATGGTCCTGACCCCACTGGTCGAGAGTGAGTGATTCACTCATATTTTGCATGTTAATATCTTACCCCGGTCAGGACCTATGTTGCCCATTCGTTTGTGCTTTGGAATTGAACTCTATGCACGGTTAGTTGTGGTTCGTGAGTAGTCTTGTTGAGACTTGTGTTGGTTTGTGAACAGGGTGAGAAATTTTCATTTTCATATTCTTGATACATTCGAATGTCATTTGTGGTGGATGTCGGTATTGCTTGTATTGATTCATGTGTTGATTGCGAATAGCCATTGAGATTCGTCGTTTTGAGCCCTTTGATATGTTCCCAATTTATCTTATTAGGTTGAGATATCGCCTTGTTTGGAATTTGTTTGCTTGGAGACAAGCAAATGTCTAAGTAAGGGGGAGCGATTCGAGTCTAATTGTACAAATTCTATCCCCATTTTCCATAGAAGTTTGATGCATTTGTACTCCGTGAGGTGGTTTTAAGCTAGGTTGCACTTTGATTTAGTATTTTCAGATCCTAGCAAGTGAAACTAACACCGGAATCGAATGTGGGACGAAAAGGATCCAAAACGAGTCAAAGGGTGGAAGCAGCTGAGGATCACGGCAGAAGCTGAGTTTCCACCGTCATATGGACCGTGTAAAGGGCACCCAGACCGTGAAGCGAATTCAAAGTCGCTAAGACCATGAACCAAAGCCCCAGACTGTGAAGCGCCAAGAGTCCAGAAGCACTTTGCTCACCTCACTGGATCCCAGTCAGTTCACGGTCGCTAAGACCGTGAATTCCAGCCCCAGACTGTGAACAGACTAAGTGAAACGATGCAGATTTGCTCGACATCACTGTCTAGGAAGAATGTTCACGATCGTGAAGTGACTTCGGCGTGGGTATAAAAGGAGGGCTGAGCTGAAGGAAAAGGGGAGAGACCTAGGGTGAGAAACTTCTTCTTCTTCAGCTTGCTAGAGAGAGAGAAACTAACGAACCAAATAAGAGAAGAGGTTAGGGTTTCAAATCCAAGCAAGGTTTTGGGAATTTCTTCCCCAAAGGAGGATCTATACACCACTAGGAGCAATGCTAGCATCTCCAAGATGGGTTTCCTTCTTCTCCCTTGTGTTTCCTCCTCACCTAGCATGGAGTAATTTCTTTTTTCACTTGGGTGTGTGTAAACCCTAGCTATAATGATGAGAATGTTTGTATGGATTGAATGATCAGTGTGTGGTTGTGTTTTAATACAAAGTTATAAGGTATTTTCATGAAGATTGATTGTGTTTGCGCATTTCAATGCCTTATGCTATTTTAACCTAGGTAGAGAGAAATCACCTTTGAGTAGATGCTTGTAAAAGCTGGATTTCCTTGGGTAATTTTTGTCTCCTACATCGGTTAAATTAGGGCAAACCTCTTAATTCGTATTAGCACCTAGGGTTGGTTTTAATTTGGCCATCCGAACTCCAATTCGAGGGTGAAGTCTAGGCAACCCTTCGTTGATAGGCCAAGAGAGCTACTTTGATAGCTTGATTCGGAACCCCTTGTCCTATTGACCGAGCAAGTGGCGTTTGTTCACTAGTAGGACTTCTCAACGGTTTAAAACCGCCTATACCACACCTATGCATTCGATCCGTCAAGTCATTATTGTTAGCTTGGGGGAGCAACACCCGGGTGAAGCCTTCTCAATTAGTGTCCAATCCATTTACTTTTCTAAACGTTTTAGTTATAGATCGTCTTTTCACCAAAAACAATTGCTAGACAATGTTTCAAACAATCGAATTAGGGGTATATGGTACGGCCCGGGTTGATATTTAAACATACTTACCCTACATTGCACCCAGTTAAGGTTTATATTTGGGCCTTCATTGGGATTTTTATTGTGGTATTCGGATGAGTCACTAAACTCTTTTTGTGTACATAGCTTAAATTATAGTATTGATTTCTTCACTATCATATGTTGACAAACAATCATTTCTATTTTAATTGTGTTAAGGTACAGACTCCTTTGCAAGGATTGTAAAACCGTACCGGAAATTCAGCAGTATGGTATCTTATGCTGAAATCGTGATTCAATCTTGTTTCGGCCATTTCATATAGTTAAATAGATTCTACTAGGTTTAGCATATTTTATGATCGAATCACCAGTACGGTATCATTTTTTAATCATTGTTCTTTTGTCTCAGTAACTATGACAACACTGAATTTTGCACATATTTTTACCCCTCATTTTTTGATTATTTAGCTTGGTGTTTATCATACTTTGGCCTATTTTACTCAAGGTTGTGTTCCATTTTCATATTTCAGGTTCTAGAATTTAAAGTGAAGCATAGGCACAAGTTTCAAGTCAATCGGAGATCAATTGGCGACTCGGAGGAAGAAACTCGAGTATGAACCAAGGAATAATGGATTTATGCCTCATTTAATGGACTATTAATCATTTAATCTAGGCATGAAAAGAAATAGGACGAGACTATGAGCGTCTGGGATCAAACGACGACTGATTCGGAGTTCGGATGAGGGAGAAATGACTGACAGGCAGCAGCCTGTCCAGACTTACGGGCTGGCCTTCAAAGTTACGGTTCAGACCGTAACTTTGCCATTTTGGCTGTAACTCGGGGCCATGGGAGGAAGAATATATTCCAGAAGTTACGCCTTGAACCCTAAAGGCTACGGCTGTCACTTGGCTTCTGTGAGCTGTATAAATGCGTTTTTCCGGATTCTGAAGGGGGGATAGCTAGGTTTTGGATCCCAAACACCCAAGGGACAAATCTGTGTGTGTGTGTGTGTGTGAGAGAGAGAGAGAGCCTTGGAAACATTCTTGGAGCTATTTTGGAGGATTTCTTCACCATTGGAGCTCGGGAAACAAGTTTGGAGATGGAGATTGAAGATCTAGATCAGATTTCTACATTCTCTCTCTTCTCTATGGAGTAACTTCCCTTCACTTGGGTTTTGAGGAACCCTATATTTGTATGCTAGGAAGAGTTGTATGAACTCAAATTCATGATTGATTGACGTTTTATATTCAGTTGAGGCATTGATTCAGAATTACTTGAGTCCTGAACAAACTTTTGTGATTCCTGCTTTAACCTAGAACGATAGTCTCTACATAGGTTAATAGAGCAACCTCAATTGGAAATAGTGGATCGATTGTTTTAGTCGAGAAATCAATTCACTGCTCTGTAATGGAATCAAAGCCAGTAGAGGAAGTTTTGTGTGTTTTTCCTTGGTTAGCTTACATCGGTGGAGGTTAGTCTCCCACCGGGTATTCGAACCGAGACGGTCTGAATAACTTTAGTCGAGAGTCCAGACCAGTTAAGAACTTTCCGCGGTATATCTGTCAACTGAATTGGATTGGGTGAATTACAACTTGGCCTAACTGCAGACCAGGGGGGAATCATACCTAAGTGAGTTCCCAACCTGTAATTAGTAGTTTTACCTAGTTTAGCTAATAGATTAGTTTAGTTAATCAAACCTCAATCTGGTTTACTAGATAATGAACTGAAACTGAGTAATAGTAACTCTAGAGACCCATGGATTTGATATTTTTTACTTGTGCCACTATATTGCAGTCCCTTTCATTGGTTACACTTGACCATTGTTAGTGGTTGTGTTTTAGCGAGTCAACCTACTAATACACATGAGTTTAAATTTACCCAAAAAGGTGAATTTAAAAAATCTAATAGAAGGGAAATAGGCCACATAGAATAAGTAATTTATGTTAAAGTCTAATCAAGATTGTACATAATATATTTTTTCTTGTAAGATAAAGTACACTGAATCTGGTCGAGCATATCCTAAATTTATGAGTACGTCCAAAACTTTATATAATTTAAAAATATTATATACTTGTTGAATTTTTCCATTAAAAACAAATTTGGCCCCTCCTAATCTAAAATCCTGGCTATGTCTCAACAAATCGAGTTATTTAAAGGCCTTCGAGATAATGGCTTTACATTGAACAGGAGAGAACTAAAATCACTAGGATCTTCTTTGTAGTGCGTATCTAGTTTATTTATGATCTTATAGACATTTTCCTTTTCCTTGTGAGAACTAGGCTCATGAACCAAAATCTGCAATAGTTAAACCATGAACCTATTTAAGGTGAGTGATGTGTTGAAATGTATAAAGGTGTGAAATGTAAAATGTAGTAAATATTTTTAACCAAAAGCCAGAGTCCACATCAATGGTACTAATTTTTTTACGAATGTATTATATAGAAAAAAATAATTATTATATATGTCTAGATTCGTATTTCATAGGGCTTCCGACAATGTCTCTACTTTATTTACAACTAGTGTTCCGAGTTTTCCAAGGGTTGATAATATATCTAGTAAAGGTGGATTTGTTTGGATTTATCCTACTTCAATCTTCTTCGGGCATACCCCTTTTCACTATGGTTAATTGTATGAATAAATATAGAACATGATCTTGATTCTTAATTTGGCAACACCGCGTCATTAATATATCATATTTAACTGACCAAAATTTAAGAATATATTACTAAAAAATATTACAAAAAATCAACCCTTGTTCCTCTCTCTCACTCACGTCACCTGTTGATACTCTGACTCCTCTACTTTATCCTCTACCTCTTATTTCCATATCTGAACAAGCGAGACCCTACTCTAATTCCCAGGGTCGGCGTCAACAAGACCTTGCTTTAGTGACCGCAGCTACGTTCCAAGATAAATGAAAAGGCTTCCCACAAAGGAGGAATTTGTGGAGAGTTGTCCGGACCACCAAATCTTTGAACCTCGTGCATTTGCGAGAATGAGGCCGACGGTAGCGGTGGACAGTGGAGTCGGCGGAGGCAGGAGACAGGCGATTATGCGGTCAGGTATGTCTGTGTACCACATGCATGCAGAGGAGAAATTAAGGTGGTGTTGGTTTTGTCTAGTAGGGGAACTCAACTAACCAGATGGGGAGAGCCAAACGGTGGAGAAGAGGGCTTGTCCGACGGTGATTTCTGGGCCACGAGACGACGAATGCACGGAGAAGGACTATGAGGAGAAGGGTAGAGCGGTGGAAAGTAACATTTTATTGATAGAATTCCAACAACAAGACAAGATCTCATGCATCTCGACTTCAAACAACAAGACAAGATCTCTTCTCTATCGCTGACCTCACGGACTAAATCATCGATCAAATCCCAAGTTCAATCAAACCTTTTACGCCGCTCTCGTCGAGGATGAAGATGAGGATTCAGTAGTGGCCGGGGTAGGGGAAGAGGAGGAGTGAACGGAGATGGTGAAGTTTTATTTCCATTTTATTTTATTTTAGATATTATTTAATAAATATTTAGAATTGGTCTTAACATTCCACATTACCGCTGACTAAATTTTCTGTTAATACTAACATAATCATCAGTTAACAGAAATTATAGTTCATGAAAGGATTGTAATGTTAAATAAAATAGGATAAAAGTAACATCTTATTGATAGAATTCGGATGTTGTAGTGATATCTGAATATAAAATAAAAACCATTCAAATTCTATAACACAAAAACCGAGAATCGCGCACTGAAAATCATCCATTATTGATTAAGTTGCCTTATTACATATAATAATAATATTATTATTATTGCAACATTAATTAGGTTAGGTGAACTTTGCTTGACGTTGGTCATCCTTAGGAATCCAATCCAACAACCTTATTTGGCGGCACGATCCATGACATGGTTGTTGAATCCATAGCATAGGAGAGGATCATAGGAATAATGGATCACTGTAGTGGAGGTACAGGAGCGGTAGGGGGCCCAGCTGGAAGCCAGGTGGCGTGAATTTCGTCTCTGCTTCCTTGAATGGGCCTGAGAAAGATTCCGTCCTCCTGGGCCACCCAATAAGTGTTACCCATATACTCCCTCCTTGCCAGTGCCACGTCCTCCCAGTACGAGTCAAAGGTCACGCGCCGGTTGTCGTCTGTCGTGCCGTCGCAAGACCACCTAGTGATCCCCAGAGGGCTCGGCCTGAACCTCCACGTGTACTCGGCCCCGACCGCCACGTCATGGCTCCCAACGTCTGTATCTCTGGAGTGGCAATGGACGTGGAGGAGCTTGTTGTCGGTGAGCTCGTTAAGGACGTGAACCTGCTTGAATGGCCGGAGTGGGGCCCTCAGGTTCAGCGCCGACGAACTAGTGGCCGTCAGTGCTACGGCTAGGCTCAGGCTCGCAAGGAAAAGGAATGCCAAGCTGGAGCTCCTCATTTTCTTCCCCCGCTTCTTTGGCTTCTTTGCTTTGCTTTTCCGAGTTGGCTTGCTTTGTTGGTTGGCTTACACGGTCCATTGGAGCTTGTTTATATAGGTTGTTGGGCCCAACTAGTAAATAGATATTGAGGCATTATCTTGGTGTCTTTTGAGAAAAGAAAAGAAAAGAAAAGGCAAGTGATCTTGGTGTGACTAAGCATAGATATAGCATAATGATTAAGTAGATTACAGTTGCAACACACTCTTTTGGCATTATCTGTCTCACACTCTTTGATCGAATAAAAGAAAAAGCAAAAACCTAACTCAAACTACAGTAGTGGTTTTAGGCGCCTCTACGGAATATGTGATAGACTGATAACAGTTATTCTTTAGCTTTTTTTTTTTTGTCATAGATAGATCGTAATAGATAGGGTATTACAGTGCAGTGAAAATGAAAGAGCGGTAGTCAACCAAAAGGGTTGCTACCGATGCAAGGGCCGTTTGTGCCACGCGATGAGCCGTTTTTTCTATTATTATATAAAAATTATAAAAATGAATATGTGAAATTTATTAAAAAAATAAGTATATTTGAAAATAATAAATAAAAACAATTAGGACACGCAAAATTAGAGGGACCTCGTACTCAAGGAAATTTTTCTTATCGTGCATCATAAGAATTAAGAATCATGAAGAAATATTCTTTTAAATCCCATATTTTTTGTTCTATATGTTCAATAGTATTTACCAAAAAAAAAATTGTGTTCAATAGTGGTACAATATCAATTAGATTTTGGTACTTGAACTTAGTCGTTAATGGTACAAATAGAATTTAATATAGACCCAGACCTTATGGTTCAATTCAACCTTGTTGGTAAGAATTAAACGTGTATCTATATTGTGTATGAATTCATGTATGGTACAAGATCGTTGAAGAATCAAATTAAACTCGTACTTAGACCTTCTTGTACAAATGACTTTATCTCATACAATTACTTTCCGGTCCAAATTTAGAGTTAACTTTATGGTAGAAATTCAACTTGTACACTTACTTTTTGGTATAAACTTTTTTTATAGTACAACTTGAACATGTACTTTAACCTTATAGTACAAATTAAACTTGTACCTGTACCTTTTCAAATAAATTCTTTTATACTACAACATGAACATGTATCTTAACATAATGGTACAAATAAAACCTGTACCTATATATTTTCATACAAATTCCTTTGCGCTACAGCTAAATTTGTACATTAAGATAATGGTATAAGTTCAACTTGTACCTATATCTTCGTACAATTTTTTATTGTACCTTTCATACAAACATTTGTTAAAAACTTGCTTGTACCTATAGCTTTCGTACAAATTTCTATAAATTTCATGATAGTACAAACTGAACTTAAACCTAATGCCTTATTGTACTGAATCAACTTGTACCTATACCTTTCGCACAAATTTCATTATATTGCAACATGAACATGTACTTTAAATTTATGGTTAAATTAAACTTGTACGAATATATTTTCGTACAAATTTCTTTATAGTACAAATCAAACTTGTACATTAACCTTATGGTACAAATTAAACTTGTACCTACACATTTCACTCAAATTTCTTTATGATAGGATATGAACTTATGAACATGTACATTAACCTTTTTTTTTTTTATAAATCAGTGCCTGTATTTTATTTATTCGTTGGTCAAAACAGCACAGTCACTAATGAGAAAGGGTACAATGAAACAAGGTGGCCGGTCGAACCATATTTCAGTTTCTTCCTAGTGACAAAGCACCCGAGCCAACTGATGGGCCACTGTATTCCCTTCTCTCCCTCAAAATCTCCATTTCACCTCTTCTCCTTCCACACCAGCCCTTATCACTTTGCAGACAATGTCAATTTCCATATTGATCTTCTCCTTCCCCTGTAACTTAAAAATGAGACTTTGACAATCTGTCTCCATCATCTCTGGGAGCAGATTGTGTTGTTTCACTAGATTCAAACCCCAGAGGAAGGCCTGCGCTTCCGCCATCTCCGGACTCCACTTTGTTCTTGTGCGGCTTACCGCCGCCGTTACAAAACCTCCCTCTCCATTTCGCACCACCATACCAAAACCCGTCCCTCCTTCCTTCAGAGTAGATGCATCTACATTCGCCTTCAAGCCCCCATCTAGTCGTTCCCATTTGTAGATTTGGCTATGGCGTATCGGCGGCAGAGCTGGTCCCTGCGCTCTACGAAACTCTTCCAGGTAATTCTGGGCTCTTTCAACTACTTTCCACTCTTCCAATTTCTGGTTATTGAAATGATGGTTGTTCCTTTCTTTCCAAAGGAACCAAATTGTAATTAGGAACTCGCATATCTCTTCATCCTTTCCATTTTCCAGAACTTCACACAGCCAATCTGCGCAACTTCAATCTTCACCCAGTTCGAACAGTCTTCTTAGGAAGCTAGCTAGGTCTCTAAATCCTCCCTACCCAATCACATTCCCTAGTTATGTGTTCTTGAGTTTCAACCAGTCCACAAAATGGCCATCCATCCTCTGCCTCTAGTATTCGCTTTACTAGGTTTCCTCCTGTTGGCAGAATGTTAGATCCCCATCTCCACACAAAAACTCTTACTTGGGGGGGGGGGGGGGGGGGGGGGGGGGAGTTCCAAGTGCCACATCCTTTTCCAGTCAACTGGCTCATATATTGCTCCGGTTGATCGCCCATTTGCTTCCTTCTCCATTCATGGTATCCCAATTTCACAACATAGTTCCCGGTTTTTCCTTTGTCCCAGCACCACTTATCGGGTCTTGGTCGAGCAGGGATGGGTATTGATTTAATCCGTTCTCGATCAATAGGTTGGAAGTGTTGTTGTAATATATTACTTCTCCATGAACGAGTTGTTGGATCAATCAAATCGATCACCCTTGCATTCATCCCCCAGACTTGTGACTGTTGTTTGCACTTTAAAATCCGCCACTTCTGGTATCCACCTATCCCACCAAATTTTGATGCTCCTTCCATCCCCCACCCTCCACCTTGTTCCTTCCTTCACCAATTCCTTCGCCGACATAATGCTTCGCCATATATATCTAGGGTTAGTTCCCACTTCAGCTTCCAAAATGTTTGTATAGGGGTAGTATTTTGCTTTCAACACACTAGCAACCAGGCTAGTTGGGTCTTGCAATAGGTTCCAGACCTATTTACCCAGCAGCACCAAATTGAAACCGTGAAGATCACGAAATCCCATTCCCCCCTTTCTTCTTTGGCTTACACATCTTTTTCCACTTCATCCAATGTACTCTTCTTTCCCCATTCTTGCTTCCCCACCAGAAACCAGAGATTATTCTGTGCATTTCATCAATTACCCCTTGTGAGATAAGGAAAACTGGCATGGCATACATTACTTGAGCTTGAGCAATTTCTTTGATCAGAACTTCCTTAGCAACATTGGAAAGAAGCTTCCTTTTCTACATCTTCACTGTCTTTCTTACCTTGTCAATAAGTTGCGTGAACACGGCTTTCTTTGACCTGCCAATCACTGTTGGTAGCCCCAAATACTTGTCATGATGCAGAACATGTTCCATTCCTAACAATTGTGCTATGTCCTCTCCCTGTGCCCATCCACGTTACTACTAAATAACAGTTCAGACTTAACCAAGCTCACTTGTTGCCCTAATTCTGTTGCATAGGTGTCCAATATCCACTTTAAAGTCTCCCCTTCCTGTCTTTTATTCTCAAAGAAAAAGAGGTTGTCGTCCGCGAATAATAAGTGTGTGATCATAGGAGCTTCTTTAGACACTTTGATACCATGAAGTTTCCCCTCTTGTACCTTCTTCTCAGTTAAACATGATAACCCTTCAGCTCATAATAGAAACAAGTATGGCGATAAGGGGTCACCTTGTATGATCCCTCTCGATGGTTGGATTACCTCAGATTGGTGTCCATTCACTAAGGCTGCGTATGTCACTGTAGTCACACATTGCATCACTGTAGTCACACATTGCATCACCATGTCAATCCATTCTTGTGCAAACCCCATTTTCTACATAACCTTTGACAGGAAATTCCATTCCACGCGATCATATGATTTTGCTATGTCCAATTTCGCAGCTACAAAACCTTTTTTTCCTTCTGTGCGAGTTTTCATTGCATGAAAACATTCAAAGGCTACCATAATGTTGTCTGTTATTAGTCTTCCAGGCACAAAGGCACTCTGAGTGTCATGAATCACTATACTCAGTACCTGCTTGAGTCTGTTTGCTAGCAATTTTGAAAAAATCTTATAGATAACACGGCAGAGGCTTATAGGGCGGAACTCTTTTGGGCTTGTTGGTTGTTCGACTTTTTGGATTAGTACAATAAGTGTCATGTTCAACTCCGGAGGAATAACTCTTTCCTAAAAACATTTTGCAGCTCTGCCACTATCACCGGACCCACTGTCCTCCAATTTTTCTGGAAGAAGAGGGCTGGTAATCCATCAACCCCAGGCGCTTTCAACAGGTCCATCATTTTAAGCGCAACCCACACTTCCTCCTCCATAACAGGTTTGAGCAGCTCCCTGTTCATTTCCTCAGTAATTCTCGTTGGTATCGAGTCTAGGACATGTTGAGATAATGGTTATGGTCCCTCCATGAATAGCCCTTTTAAATAGTTAACCACACACTGTGAAGCTGCTTGTTGACCCTTGTAAACTTGCCCTTCTCGTCCTTCAGTTCGACAATTGTATTTCTCCTTCGCCTCATTGAAGCTTTTTGGTGGAAGAATTTGCTATTCGAGTCTCCTTCCTTCATCCAGTCATTTTTTGAGCGTTGTTTCCATAACATTTCTTCCTGTTGTAGCAGCTCATTTAGATCACGTTCTAGTACTTTCCTCTGAATTATCACTGCCTTATTCTTTTTCTGCTTTGCAATCCTTTCCAGGATTTTTGACTGTTTTCTTTTTCCTCTTCCTTATGTCCCCGAAAGTGGTTTGACTCCATTATTTCAGTTGTTGTTCGCATCCTTTAATTCTGGACTCAAGACTCCGATCAGGATTTTTATTCCATTCCTGCTCAATCAGACTTGAACAATCTTCATGTTTCTGCCAAAAAGACTCGAACCTA